AATGTCTCGAGAACCTTCGCAGGGGTGGTGACGTGGCAGTCCTCTCCGGTATATGCAATACAATTTAGCGTCACTGCCAAATCCGGCACGACCATTGTCGAACGTGCGCCGTCCGATCCGACCGGGCGGATCCTGGCCGTTTATTTAACTCCGAACTTCATTTGGTAGGCCCACGGTAAAGCCGGCAAGTCCCCCCACTTGCATCCAACACTCCGGCGCTTCGAGCTGACGCTTTCTTCGCCGTTACCATTTTGTCTTTGCAGCTGGCCCGCCAATACCTACCGAGTCTGAAGTTTTCTCCTGGACCTCACCGTCAGGGATTAGGAGTCAGGTGGGCTTTGGCGTCCTGGATCTGCTGCGTTCTTGTAGACAGCACTTTATGTAGCTGATGCGGTGGAGTGGCTTGGAGATCCGGCGAGATGGAGCTCAGGTGGGTAGCTTTGCTTTACGACCAAGGTGGAATGTTGCCGGATTGCCGTTGTCTTTTCACCACTGATGTCATATGCGATCAAGCCTGGTGCTAAAAGCAAGTTGGGACGGTGGTGCACTGCAGAACCGGCTTGTCTATTGTACATGTTGTTACAGTTTTACATGCAATTCTCGGCTGTGACTGAGGAGCTTGGTCAACATCTGCTACAAAGCAGGGAACCATTGGTGCGATCCTTCTGAATAGAAACAAGTGGTCTTTTCTTCTACGTACAGAATGAACTCTGAACAGTCTACCTTTGTCAAGTTTCAACTGTTCGGGCTGGACATGCGACTCGCGCAGGTAAGCTACCAGGATCACGCTGGCCACACTTATATTTCATCAGTGCGAAGATCTTGGACTTCGCTTAATTTTCTTCGCTTCCTGAAGAGCCACAGACTCTCACAGTGCAGTTTCCAATCAGATAAACTAAAAAGGCAAACGTGGTTTGTCAATCATTTGCCACCACCAGCTAACATCAATGTATCAAGCTGAGACCACTCTGTGACAAAGTCCTCGTAAGACTGGTCGGTCAAAAAAAGCTTACAGTTCCATTCACGATGGCGAACAGTCTGACCCAAGCTGGTGGGAAAAACACAAGGGTGACGGTTGATAAGTGCACGATCCCCAGGATCAGTTTGACCGACTCTACCAATGAATAGCAAAGCAAAAGGTGAGCCCTGATGGCGCTTTATTGAGTGAAGTCATACCACGTCGGATCATGAAACATTGCTTTTCTGCAATTGCAGGACCCCAACTCCCAGCATCTCGGCAAGACGGTGTGGGATGCATCCATGGTTCTTGCAAAGTATCTGGTGAGTTATGTTGTTTCGATTTCTGTGCGAGATGTGCTCCTCACATTTATTTGGTAGCCTGCCAGGCATGACTTCAGTTGCTCTAATGGCCTCGCTTCCGAATTTGGGGGTGTCTAGAAACCACGCGGCCAGCTTAGGAGGCATGCAGCGGTGGTTGGACTGCACAGTTCGAGGGTAACCCCGGACTGATCTCGACACTGTCAGATTGGAGGTCCCTTTGAAGGATGCCGAGCTTGGAACAACATACATCAATACGGGTGGTGGCTTTCGCTCTCATGTCGTACCCTTTGTGCGTGGACTCCCTTCTAGAATTCCTCCCAGGTGAGTTGACAGTGCATCTGGTTTTTACGATGAGCCCTATCCTTGCTGTACGCAGGAGCGCAATGAGAACAAGGGCGAGTTCTCCCGCAAGAAGCTAGCTGGGAAGCGGGCGCTTGAGCTGGGTGCAGGGTGTGGGCTCGCCGGCATGGGTGAGGACAATCTTCGAACCTTCTGGGCTTTGGGTACGATCATGAATTTTGCTACAGCCCCTAGAAAATTAGAGCAGGATCTTAGGTAAGTACTGATTTGTAACGAGGATGGTTGTAGAACAAGGTGGCAACACTGGAGCCCCTTCAAAGAAGCGTATGCAAGCGTGAGGAACCCTCGGAAACGCGCTGAGCCTAATCTTTGAGGAGGGCTTCAATGACGATTCTGGGTTTCAGCCTTTTGTCTTCGCTGGATCTTCACACTTGAGCCTGCGATTCATGGTCTCTTCTAAACATTTGCGACAACGTCCTATCCTTTCCAGAACCCTGCAAAGCCAACTGCATGCTTAGACACCCAGTGGATGGATGACATTTCCCGAACGCCACACCTCGGCTTTCCGCCAGCATCCGCTAGAAACTATGTGGACTCTCAGGTTGCAATCCGCTCACACGCATTTCGAGGCCTGCTTTTCGCCAACTCAAGAGCCCCTACCGTAGCTGCCGATTGGACACCTTCACAGAAAAACGGAAACGCTTGAAGTATTCAAAGCACCTGTCCTTGACGTTTTGCTCTGCTCCCCAGGCCTGTGCCTGCTGGGCTGCCACGTGGTCACGACCGACCAGCGCGACGTCCTCCCGCTACTGCAGCAGAACATTGACTGGAACGTGTCTTCCGCTGTGCTCAGCGCCGCGGATTCGTCGCTTAGAGGTGCGCCGAGCTTCCGCTTCAATTTGAGAATCTTGAAACTTTGGGACTTGCGGGACTGCAAATTAACGAATATTTGATCTTCTACAGTCCATCTACATTGTAAGTTCACCTTTCCTACCCAACTTCCCTCCTTTAAGCCCAGAAGAGGGCTGTCAGAGAGAGAACTCAGATGACGAGTCAATTCAAGTCACGTTCTTGATGATCACTCTGAAGGCTCGGAAAACGGAGGGGATCAGAGGCAGAGGGAGAGAGAACGGACGCATCGATGCGGAGGGCTGATTCGTTGCTGACGCTCTCTGAGGTGTCGCTGCGATCAACCTGCATATAAGGTAGAAGCTGGTTTCTGGAATCGAAAAGCTTGCCAGAGTACGGCTTTCCGTGTTCTTACTATTTGGTGACTGGTGGTGCGAAGATCGTTTTCTGATTTTAGAAGGGACGTCTCGAAACCTGGTCCCAGCCTGTATTGAAAAAGGCCTGTCAAGATCGTCACATTTTAACGCCCGAGTCGTATAAGAAAGGAAACGTCCGTGCAAAGGTTGGAAGCATTGATATAAAATGGAATGAGCGGCCTTCCGAAACCTAAAACACATGTGCACCTCGCCCTGCGGCAGCCGGTCGCTTCAGGGGTTTCGACCAGACCCTTAACTCAGTCCAAATCTTTCAAATATATCACGTTGATGGGTCTCAAATGACCAGAGCGGAATCTTTCCTTCCAAAAACTAGAAGGCAGCAAGCTTTACGGAAAGATATACAAAGAGCCCAATGAAAGCGCTCAAACAATAGCTCCTCTGGCTATAGCAAAGATAGGAAAGATATGACTCGAGAGATGCCACTCTACACCATAAGGCCCGCATGATCTTCTATTAAGACTGATCTCGCCTTTGCTTGCCTCCTCGTGCAGGCCCCGTGGGCGACGTGCTGGTGGCGGAACTTGACTGGGGGAACGATGCACACGTCAAAGCTGTGAACCCGCCCTTCGACCTCGTGGTCGCTGCTGACGTGGTAACGCACTCGTCTTGTCCACGTCATGCAGCACGCTTGTCCATCCTCCGGGGATTCAACGCCCTCTCAGAGAATTAAAAAGAGTCGATAGATTGAGGACCTAAGTTGGGTCTCTGTCGGAAAGAATGACGTGGCGAGTTTTGAGTGCTAAATCCTGGTTTTGGCATCGTCCGGCCATGTCAGAAAGCGCTTTCCACCTCTCAATTTTCGCCACGTCATCAATTCCAGTAGCGGCTCCGGTCTCGGATCCAATATTACTGACACTTCTTGACCCTGCCTCAATACCAGGCATTGGGTTTGGTGCCTTCCTTGGCTGTGTCGCTCGGCATACTGTTTTTTGTTGGTCGCTGTTTCAGTCAGCTGGTGTAGTGCGGGGTGTCGGTGTGTATGTCAAGATCGACGACCCACGTGAAATGTGCTGGCATGACTTGGTTTGGTGACCCATTTTCCGTCTGTCGGATGGCAGAAACTCAGCAAAGGACTGTCGTTTATTACATCTAAAAACGACTACACGCTTCTCATAGCGGTGTACATGATGGCCAGATTCTGCCATGCTTGCACGCCGTACTGACTTCGACCTCCGCGTTTCAGGAGCGGTCAGAACCTTTCCGCGTTCGGTGTTGTCTGCAACTATCGCCTGAAAACCGAAGCTAGGTGCTTCTCCAAGAAGACGTTTAAAATTTGAGACGATTCAAGAGAAGTGCATCTGACGTAAGCCGTGCGGACCTTGCAGCTGTATGCGGAGCACCTGGTGGAGCCGCTTCTGCGGACGATTGCAGCGGTCACAGGGCCTCGGACTACGACCCTGGTACGTACCCCTAGTACCGGAGGTTGGCAAATTGTTTGTCCTCCTTAAACGGCTGAGATTTGTTGCGGCAGTCGGAGCACCTTGCTTCTCCTTTGCCGTCTCTGCCGAAACTTCTTGCGTCTCTTGTTCTCCTTGGAAGTCCTCAAAGAAACGCACAGCACTTTCACGGCCGCGGTGCGAGAAGCCCATTGTAGATTGTCCACAAAAAACAAACCGCCGACCCCTTTCCGCGGGACAGATTTTCTCGTCTTTCGATGAATGTCCTTCCGAGAATGTCCTTTTGCCGCAGATCTCGTACGAGCTCCGGTCCCATTCCGTCCACACCGCCTTCCTGGAGCAGAGCAGCCGGCTCTTTTCCGTACGGAAGATTCCCCATGCCAAAGTAAGCGGGGCGGCGCAAGCTCCTTGATCCTTCCCGGAGTATCTTATTTCTAAGAGTGTTTGGATTGGTAAACGTAAGGTTACCAACTTCACCCGACCGCTCGGTTTCGTACCCGTAAAAGCCCGAGTAACGCACAGGGAAACAGCATCCCGAAAGCGTAACCTGCTCTCGGACCGTCGGTCAGCGCTTCCAAAAGGGAACCGTGAAAAGAGTCTGTGCACGGTTCGATCGTTACCGGGCCCAACGAATCGCTGCTCAGCGCGCGAGCGGCCAGTTTTCAAATCAAAGTGAACGTGCTGCCATTCTCATTTGCTTACTTGCGTCTCGATGTGGTAGATGCACCCGCTCTTCCAGCACCCCTCCATCGATATCTATGCCCTCCGGAAGCTTCCCCAGGTACGTTTGTGCGCCTTTCCCTTACTACATCTGTCTCGAAGTTGTGCACTTTTAGTGAAGCTCTTGTTTCAAATGTTCCGGCTTTCCGGGTCGATTGTCAACTTCGGTCTCAACTGCTTGTATTTCCCGTCACGAAAGCACAAAAGGGTCGATTGTCAACACCGGTCTTCTTCGTTTGTATTCCACGTCACGAAAGCACAAAGTCAAAGCCCAAAGAAACAAGGTAATCATTACGCCCACCGTAGATCTGAGGGACCCGAACATCAAGCTTCGAGCTCACGTTGACCAAACGCTCGCCGCCTTTGTCTCTCTCTCCAGGCGCACTCTCGCTCCAGCACTTCCTCCCCCTCCCCTACGCCGTCGCTTCAATCCGACGGTGCCGCAGAGAGCGGCTCTTCCGATCGGACGGCCCAGATTGCAGTGGCAAGCGTGGACGACGACAACGAATGTAAAGACACAAGTACAACGCCTCAGATCGAGTCAGGAAAGCCTTCCGTATCAAATAACGTAAGACAACCCAATGAGGGATCTGTAGATTGCTCGCTTGTAGAAACCGAGTCCGATGCTCCCGAGCGGTTTGATACTTGTAGGGATAAAGAGGAGCCGGGGGCAGTCTGGGCGAGTAGGCGGGCTGGGGTAGAAGCGGCGCGACTACTAGCAGGGATAAAGCTAGACTCGTCTGACGATCATTGATTGATGCATGAGCACTCGGTTCGCTAACTCGGACTCGAGCAATTTCACGGGACATATGCAAGGAATGATGCATCGCTTGAAAAAGACTAACTGGATGTAGTCACTTCGACCCGATCGCCCTTGGGCATGCGCTTATGGGCGGGCTTGGAAGCCTGCCGCCATCATGGGCGCATGATGCCTGTACGTGTCGCTCGGCCGCCCGTTTCACAGGTTAAGATGTTCACTCTTCAGCACATGCATATGCGGGGCTCGATTTGCATGTTACGATTGATCGAAGCCGCCGGTAGCTCCGAGGCCAAATTCCTTATATAAGCTCAGTTGGCGCAGGGACGTCGAATCGGTCATTCCGGGGCGGCCGCCTAGCGGGCCTCGTTTCGATCCTAGATTCAGTGCTGGTGAAGCATGGCGGCCGCGACCGCGGGCGGCGCGGGCAAAAACTCTTGAGATGTATTCATACATCTAGCTGGTTGTGATTTGTGGCTGCCGCAAATCTTCGCATAGGAGCAAGCTAGCGCTCCACGGCCAGGCCCAGCGCTCCACGGCGGCGACGATGCAGCCTCTCTTTCGCTTCATCCGCCCAGCTAGGATCCAAAGCCATGGTGCTGTCGCCCATATATATATGGCAGTCCTGCCGGTTGCCCCCGGGCTGGCAGCTCTGGCGCATCGCACGGCTGGACAGTGTTCAGCGGCCGCCAAGAAGTAATGCATCACATATATGCGGATATAGTACCTGCGTCAAGCTTTTGTTACAACCGCCTGTCTGTTTGACGACTCGATAAAATGCAGCTATACCTCCACAGAATCATCAATATGCTAATTGTCGAAAAACAAGCATGGCGGAGGTCGCCACTACCGGGGCGTTATATTGCGCAGCACTTCTTCAATCATGAAATGTGGATCAGATGCACGAAGGCTCAATACGTATTGCCAATGTATGAAAGCTTTTGAACAATCAGATTCTTGTACAAGTATAAGCACATGCACGTGAAGATTGGAACACGAGGGATACCGGGGAGGATGTACATGCAATATAACTTGAGGTTTGGCAATAATTCACAACTCCATGGCAAATGATGGGTTCTGGGTTCAAAAGCCTTTCACATTCATTGTGGCATTGTACATGTAAACCATGCATGAGCGAGGACGCAAGAGGGCACATATGTAAGTGGTGCGCTGCCAAAGTATGGGTGGGATTATAATAGATGATAATGTCTTCATTGATCAGGCGATATTGAAAGGAGATGTCCTTACTTCTGAGCAAGTCTTACATGATTGTGACTGCTTGCCTACTGATTAGTCAAACCCAGGCTAACCCACGTTCAAAGATATTCTTTGTAAAGCAGCTCTAGCCTTCTTAAGCTTAGGACAGTTTATTCAGACTCTTCAGACTCTACGTTAATAGTCAGCAACCTCAATAGAAGAGTTTGTTTGCAGATGTTCTCGTCTTTGGCAACCACAACCCCCTATCTAACAAAACCTCATAGCCGCGTGCCAATCAGCTCAGCTCAAAACCCACTCTGTTTCAGCAGAAGGCTTAATTGTCTGCCTGCCATGCTTGTTCCAAGCACGAGCTAAAATGTGGCCTCAAAACATAGCCTCAAAACATAATCGCATCGCGAAAGCAGCGCCGGCAACTCACTAGCAGCACCTGTTGCCTGGAGCCTAACAGCCTACTTGACATAGATAGCCAGGAGACCCTCCCCAGAGTAGAAGTTCAGGTCGACATGGTACCTTGCGTTGTTGTGGGAGTCAATCAGATTGGACCCGACGCCGATAACCACGTGGCCCCAGCTCCTCATAAACACGACGGCGCCCTTCTGCACATTGGCGGCCGTCACGGAAACCGTGCGCCAGCCAGACGCCTTCAGGAAGTCCTCCAGCCCGAGGGGACCCCCCTCCTTCTGGGAGCACCACAGAAGATCGTATGTCTTGCCGCCGTACGAGTAGGACCCAAAGGAGCTCTGCGCAGCGCCGGCAGATAGCCCGGGGACGTAGCCCCCCGCCGCGAGGGAGCGCGACACAAACTCGGCGCATTGGTAGCTGGACTGGCAGAGACGGTCGACGTGCACGCGGCCGTCGCGCAGTTCCAGTGCGCGTCGGCGTAGCTCGCGACGGTGCCGTAGTTGTTGGATGATCCCCCCGCCTCGCAGCACTGGAACGCGGTCGGGCCGGGGCAGTATCCCGCCACGCTAGTTCCGGAGCATGAGCTGGTCCACTTGCAGGAGCCCTTGCCGGAGTCGCACGAGGTCTTATAGCAGCACTTGACGTCGGTGGGGTCGTTGGGGCAGTAACCCGAGGCGTATGTGCCCCCCCCTGAGGTGCAGTCTGCGGTGGCGATGCAGACACCCGGAGTGGAGCCCACAGAGCATTGGCCGTTTAGGGTGGCCTGGGTGGGGGCCAGGAGGACCAGCAGGAGGAAGGGGAGGGCGGCGGCGATCGCCATTGTGGGCGAGGTTTCGGAGAGGCGCTTGGGGGAGGGGATTAAGATGGGAATGTGGGGATTCTGCTGTGAGGATGTAGCGGCTGTTCTTTCGTTGATGTACTGGAACTTGGTCCTTGCGAATATAAAGCCTTCACAGCATGTGTCAAGTCCGTCTGCGACCGAGCTGATGCGCCCAAACGCTGACTAGACTCAGGCCGGAATTTGGCTCCTGATCAGACAGCTGACAAAGTTATGCAATTCGCGAGGAATCTCCGTAACAGACGAGGCGGGTCTGATTGACTTGAGCTCTCCTCCGCTTCGTTCTGAGATAAGAACATGCACAAGGAACAGGCATGTGTTCGGTTGAGAGGAAGTTTAGAGAGCAGGCTGATCGCCCATCGTTACTACGGCACCCTACTGATTGGTACACTTCAAAATCAGTGCAGTGAGTCCATGCGGGGGCATGCAGCATTCTGACGTACCATTACCTATTCTCAATGCTGTCAATGCTGCATAGGTACTCTACATGTAACAGTGCAGATGGGATCAACCCGCAAAAGGGCATCAAAAAGGGGCATCCGAATCTAAAAGTTCCATTGGAAAAGACGCGATGGGCTTCAATCATGTAGGTCTTATTGCAATCATGACTCCCGACGCGCTTTGCTGTGTGCGCACTGCGATCTCAGACTGCAGTGCGGTTCAATCGAGCCAACCACGCCCGGGCAGAGAGAACTGCTTTGGAAATTATCGTGGCATTCTTCTGTAAATTTGTTGTAGACTTGACATCTGACCTAGAGCTGTGCTCATAAGGCCTTGCTTTTTAAATCTGACATTGATTTTGCACTGACGAGGTATGATTAGACTCGGGCACGATGTGTCTAGTTTTAGGCAACAATATTGCCATTGTTTGGAGGCCGCACATTTCAATAAGGAGCTTGCCGGGGGCTTGTCATTCATAAGAGGTCGGACTCAATCGGGTCGTGCCCGGGAGTAATAAGGGGCAGCCCCGGGAGGCCTGCATAGTGATCCACGACAGCCGCCGGTGGCCGGTTCCAATATACAGTTACCGAAGCCGTTCCCGGTAAGGTATTGTATAGATGTCTCAGACTCTCAGCCTTACATTTCAGCCTCCTTTAAATTGTGCAGGGGCTAGCTAGCCAAAAGGGACGCCTCAAGTTAACCGTCAGCCTGACTGAATCTGGTCAATGGATGTCAAAGGGGTGCGCCATTTTGATTGGCTCGGTTCACGTGCCCCGGTCACAAATCGTCGATCGGACCACGCGTACGGCTGCATGCCGATTCTTGGCGAGAAGCGATCCCGTCGCGCGCCCTCGGGAACCCTTGCCAACCGATTCTCTGCCGACCACTATAGCTGCACATCCGGCTGGCCGCTGCAGTACCAACCGAGGACCGGGCCCCGGTCACCGGTGCAATGGGCGCATGGCGGCTTTGTCGATCATGACGCCGTTCCTGACCATGTGAACAGTACGGCAGGACGCGGGGCCGCAAACTAAATACAAGCCTGGCTACTGACTCCCGGGTCGTTGAATACCGCATCATCGAACTCATAAGCGCTCGTTTGCTCACATGTGTCGTTCTATTCCTATATCGGTTCTGCACGATGCGAGCTGAAGTGGTGCCAATTGCTTAAAATATGTACGTTTTCGACGAGCGAACTCGTTACTTAACACTAATCCCCTGACAGTCACTCCACGGGTCAGCTGTGTTCTTGTCTGGCACCTTGACATGGCTTTTGGAATCCGCACATATACGTAAATGGTGACGGGATACAAGAAAACCACGTTGGAAACGACCAGGCGCGTATGGGACATATCCTCCCCGGTGCGGAAGGCATATGGTATATTCCACAGTCCACTCGTCGAATATGCTCTTCCGCCCGGGACGGACCTCGTGACGTACGGGCCCCGGGGTCCTCCCGGCAACCGTGACGCAAGCCCCGGCCTCCTCGGCGAAACCTTCGAAGGTTGCAAACCTCGCGCCGGCCAGGCGGCCGCGGCCGCCTCGAGCGTCAATATCGCGCGTACGTGCGCGGTGCGCAGGTGCATGCATGCCAATACGTCGTGGACGCAAAGTAGGTACTTATTTTTTGTGAGTGCTGACCCAAAAGCGAGTTACCGGCATGGTCCGGCCGCCCTCGTTTCTGACGGAACGTGCCCATGAGCTTCGTGCGTGAGCGCGGCATTGCATTGTGCAATTACTGCGATCTTGCACAGCATGTGCATGCCAGCAGCACGCGGTGGATAAGTTGTGAAGAACTTCCATTGGGGCCGCAAAGCGCCGGGATCATGCAAGGCATGGCCGGTGCTGCCGGCGACTTATCACGTTTAACTTGATGTAGCACAGGACAGACCGGAGGCAATTGCCGGATCATCGCACATTCACGAGCGGGCCAAGGAAGAAGTCTAGATAGCGCGCGCTAGCTGAAATCAGTCTGAAAACCTTCAGGTCTTCAGACTGAAAGGTGCACGTAAGCCGCATGGCACCAAGCGATACAAGGGCTTATAGTGACAGGCGCGTCTTTCAGGAGCTCCTCAATACAACCGAGTAGCGTAGCAGCAGCTGCGTGCCAGCCCACGCATGTGACTCCCCGACCATTAAATGGGCGTATCACCCACGCGTTTGAAGTAACCCGGAGACTCAGCTAGACTTAGCTAGCAACTGTTGAGAACCAAGGTCTGCTTAAGAAACGCCGGAAATTACATTGCGACACTTCAGACGCGGGAACCCTCAAGCGAGAGGACCTGTTTCGCCGTCGCTCCAGACTGACTTGGCTACCAGTGTTCGAAACCCTGTGAGCAATTCCTATTAGTTGCTTTTGGTCAAACCAGGGCCGCTTCGAACTCTGACTCCTTCGCCTCGCTGCTTTCCGCTCCTTCGCCGCGCATCGTCCTCACAATGGCGTTGCCCACCCGCATCCCGTCGACGGCAGAGCTCACGATGCCGCCGGCATAGCCCGCTCCCTCACCGATGGGATACAGCCCGGGGTGACTAACCGACTGCAGAGTAGCGGGATCCCGCTCGATGCGGACTGGGGCGCTGGTCCGGGTCTGCGAAGAAGAGTCGGGCAAGCTACGTCAGCAAAGAGTCAACATGCTTGGTCTTAGCACGACAAAACGCCTCCTTCGCTTTGTTCCCTAGACATATGGGCTTGTACCGGAGATGGTGTCTTTCCACTATCGTTACAGATTCGCCTTTGCGTTTGTTCTGAAAGCTACACAATCTGGAAAATGTACATGGAGCCGACCCGAGCCAAATTGCTGAAAGCGGATCACGTTCAGCAACCTTCGAGAAGCTCAATTCGTGAGAATGCCAAGCCAAGCAGCGCTTCTCAGTGTGTCGAGGGGAAAAGGGCCTAATTTTGGCCCGTCTCCTTGGATGGACAAATAATCGCTCAACAACCTCCGAAGCAGCAACCGAATCCTCTGACTGGGAGTGCACACATGCAATCTCAAGCGCCTTGATTCCGTACGTTCTCAGAAAAAAAAGTAGATGACGTGGCCGTGCATCCGGTTGAACAAGACAGTTGCTGATACTCACCTCGACTCCATGGAGCAGCGCGTCAGGGCTGACGAAACCAGGCATCTGCACGCCGCAGGACCCGAGAGTCAACATATATTTGCAGAACAGCTAGTATAGGAATCCGCACTGATGATGCGAAAAGCAAAGAGTGAGAATTACCGACAAGAGCCGGGTGCCAGTAGCTCCGCAGCGCGACAGGACCCGAGGAGATAATATGCTGACCGATCGTCAAGATGGACGGAGGGAACAAGGGCCCTCCAGACTGCGTTCCTGTAATGTTGAATTGCACCGAGATGTGGTGGGAGCATGTGAGCGAATCCGCATCCCGTAAAGACGTCTTCGAATCAGGAGAGCGGGCCTAACGCAGAAGCTACTCTTGCATCCCCCCGCTGAACGGCCTGTGTACTTCGTCAGCCGACATCTCGGATTCGCTGTGTCTACTTCAGATCCATTTTCCGGGTAAGTACTTGTTCAAAACGTTGTTACTGAACCCACGAGAGTGAGAAGGCTTCTCACCATTTTGTCAAACGCCAGCAGCGCCTGCCGGAGGGAGGCGGTCACAACGTCCGGATACAGCTCATCCAAGCGCGCGCTGCGGACGCCTAAACGGTAGCTGCTGGAAGGTAGGGGATCGGCTGCACATGGAGGAACGGATCTGTCACTTTGGAGCAACATTTTCGCTTTCAAGAAGCGCTTCCTTTGCAAAACCATGGTTGAGCAGTGAGCCCCACTGAGCCCCTGGATAACGAAGTCAATCGAGCAAGTGAAGTAGACCAAAAAGAAGAGCGCCGCGATCGCCTGGGGAGTAGTTCGTTTGGACCAATTCGGACGTCCCACATGGACCAGTGACTTTGATGTCGACCAGGGGAAAACTTCTAGAAGGCTGCATTCGAAATGCATGTTCGATAGACTCTGGGCGTAAGAGCGTCAGTAAATCGGGCTACATCGCCATACTTTGCATGGTCAACTGGTCGTGTACTTCAATCCATTTGAAAGAGTCAACGAGCTCAGAAAACGAGGGAAAATGGTCGGTGAAGCGCTTCGCAAAGCTGCCGTGCGTCTCACCAGAGAGGACGCCGTCGAGAAAGTCCGCCGCCCGTTGCACGGGCGCCACAAAGTTGCCGCCGCCCATCGCGGCCGCGCGCCGCTCCATGGCCCTCTGCATAACCCAAACCCAATCAAGTAACAAATAACCCGGATCCAGATTCAGGCAAGTCCTCAATAAAAGGTGCCCAAACAAAGGCAACGATCGACTCTTCTGGTTCAAACCTGAGGACGAGAGCTCGCTTCGCAGGAGGCTCGCTCGAACGAAGCGCTAGAAATGTGCGGAGAGGTTTGGCGCGCTGAAGCTTGTTTCAATCTGCATACGAAATCTCTTTCAACGAATTTTACCAACGTATGAACCAGAGTACGAAGCCAGGATCAGCCGAACCTGCTGCTGATTGCGGATGCCCAGATTAAAGATTCCATACGTGAAAGCAGGAGTCACAATTACTCAAAGCTCACCTGGAAAGCTACTCCGGCCAGCGGGCTGTCGCCTCCAAACTCCACGAAGTCGGGCGCGGACACCGGGACAACTAGAGCGGCGTTGGCCCACTGGGACGCGCGCCGCGAGAACGACATGCCGTTAACGCACAGCTCGTCCGCGTTCGTACTCGTGGGGACCACCTGAGAATCATCCCAGGACTGCTTAGCGCCTGGAAAGCATCCCAAATCTTGGTTGAAATCTCATTGATTCTCGTCCTGCATCTCGAGAGGTCGAGATGGAGAGACAAGTGAGATGCTGTCTGCGCAGATATGGCGAGGCATCGGAAAAAGTTTGGAGTGGATGTCATTCAATGCCAAATATGATGAGCTACGAGGGGCGAAGCAAGAACAGGACGAGGCGGCCCGAATAAAGGTTTCCAATATGGAGATAGATCGACGTCTTCTCCTTACCCCAAGAGTCATCAATTGGCCAGACTTCGGCCCCTGTAAAGAGCTTCCTTATTCCTCGAGCCCTGACACTTATGAAGTTTTCTCCTCTGCTAGAATCTCAACAATCAAAAACACTAAACCTTCAATACTAAGGTTCTCTCAGGTTGAAACCCTCATCACTTCGAACACCCCGCGATCGGAGTCCTTAGAATGCGCACGAGAGCTCACCTGTCCCCCGGGGCACATGCAGAACGAGAAGCAGCTCCTGTTGTCCCCCCTCTCCTGCGCTGCCAATGTGTAGTCCGCGACCGGGACTTTCCCCCGGCCCCTGTCCACGGAGTCTGCCCACTCCCGATACTGGATCCGGTCGATCAGCGCTTGCGGGTGCTCGATACGGAACCCGGCCTGGATAGAATATGATGGCTTCTGAGGCAAAGCTTGTTGAACATCTTTGTTTCCTATGTTACTCTCAAAGCAGGACGAGTCCGGGGATGGAGCCAGGAAATGGTTTCGGTTTGCGCTGGACGGCGTTTTCTGTATGCATCTGCTTCAGGCTGAGAACGGATCGAAGCCGGAGTCAAAAGACATCTTTGTACTGCGCGATGAAGCTTCATCCGTCTTCGTGTCGGCGAGGCTCGTGGACCCAAAGCAGGCAGACCGAAGAAGGTGAAGAATTCTCTGGTCAAACCCAAAAGAACAGGATACTCTGATGTGGCCGTTCCCAGCAGTTCCTAACGAAGGGTCATCATTGGTAGATTGTGTTCGGCTGCTTGTACTCAGAGGGAGTCTAAAGAGGGCTTTAAAAGCCAACAATCGGACTCCGCTTTGCTGGACAGAAGGACAGAGACAAACACAAGATCGTCTGCGCTGGATATCAAAACGTTCACCTCTGCTAATCAACGCTTAAAGCGTCTGATTTACAGAGTGAAACCGCCGGTTGCTATGACGACAAGAAGAAACGCTGGCCCTCACCGCAAAGTCTTTCTGTGCCATGTGCACCTCATGCCCCTCGAGCATTGTATACACGTCACGAGCCGAGTGGCCCACACCTAAGACTACGCTGTCCGCTGACATCACCTCCGACGCTCCCGTGCTCAGATTCCGAACTAACGCCCCTGTCACCTGGCCGCTTTGTATGACCAAATCGTCAACGATCTCGCCAAACCGCATCTCGACCTGGAGAGAAAGACAATCGGTCAGCAGGATGAAGATTCTTGAGAACTTGCTGACCCCCGTATCGCTTACGACAGATTCACTTGCACTGCGTTCTCTCAAGCGTGCCATCGGACATGTTGACTGTAGGAGGGGAAGTCAAAGGTAACGAACGGGCAGTGACGTGATCTGGAATACTCGTTTGAAAGAAGTTTGACAACTTCTTCCAAAGCACTGGGAGAGCCCAAAGGGATGGCCCGGAAAGCCTCCGTGTTTGTCTGCATGACCTTCTTCCAGATGTCAGATGACTTCACTTCTCGCACTGTTTAGCCACAACAGCTCTAAACTGGTAGACTCACACGCAACAGTACTTAAGAGCTTTCAAAAGCTATCTTAAAAGGGAACGAAACTGGCAATAAAGTCAGAAATGGTGCAGCTCACCCCCAACCCCTCTAGATGTTCCCGGAATGCGCGCAGCATTCGCACCAGCCGGTCCGTCCCAAGATGCGGTTTCCCGTCCACCAATATCCTCTCCGGGCCCCCAAATTGCACCAACTTCCTCAACACTTCCCGCACCTCTTCGCTGTTCTTCCCAATCCTAGTTGTCAGCTTCCCATCGCTCCAGGTCCCCGCACCCCCTTCTCCGTAGCAGTAGTTGCTGTCTGCATTTAAACTCCGGCGGACCATAAGCGCCCCAATGTCTCGCCCTCGCCTCTCTACCGGTTGACCTCGTTCTACCACCGTTACTTTTATCCCCGCCTCTGCTAAGGCAAGAGCGGCAAACAGACCCGCAGGGCCACTCCCCACTACGATTGCTTTCTCCTTTTGTATGCTGCCTCCACTCGTTGCGTCTCCCCTACTGCTCGAGGCGCTCTCCTCGCTCTCTTCTCGTCTTTCAACTTCTTCCTCCGCCTCTAGTTCGTCCCGGTCCTTCCTAGGCCCGACATACCTGGGGGCAGTGCGCCCCGTCAGTCGCACCGGCAACGCCCCGTCTGACGTATCGTCATAGCCGTCCAACTCCAAACTTCCCTCCCCAACCTCGTTGCTCAATACATCGTACTCAAGCCCCTTTGTCGTTTGCTCACTGTCTGCAGGTGCTCTTTCGAAAAGGCCGGGTTTCATTTTCAGTTTCTTCAGATTGTGCGGCGCTTTCGAGTGCGCCGCAGTCACGGCCGCCGCACTCACATCCACAATGTACACAAACACGGGCTTCTCCTTCTTCCTGGCGTCAAACGACTTCCGCACGATGCTTATGACATCGCCCTGCAGCCTCTCTGCCTTGCACAGCAGGCGGCGCGCCACCTCCTCCCGCAGGAAAGAATGCACGCTGATGTCATCCTTGCCCGGGTCGACGTCAAGCGGCACCTTCACCTGGTACAGGCGCCATGCCCCGGGGTCCACTTTCCTTTCGGGGGGTGCGCTTCGAGGGCTGTTTGAAGGGGGGCGCCGCGACCGTGATCTTTGGAAATCAGGCTTTGGGGTTACCTTAACCACCCCGCTTGGAGTCCATATCTCCCTGCTCACAATCTGCTGGGGGGGTCTGGGTCGCCGGGGTGGTGCTCTTCGATGGTGCCCCTCGGCATCGCTCCCAGAGGTCTCCTGTCCAGGGGGATCCCTCCTGCGCCAAACGGAGGGGTTTCCATGGGGTGGTGCACGTGCGGGGCCAGCCGAACAGCGTAAAAGAAGCGGTTTGCTAAGTTTGGAGAGGTTTTCCGAAGCATTGGGAAAGGGAAGAGGATGAGAAGGGGGCAGAAAGGGCGTTCTGTGGAGGGAAGCAGGGGGCAAAAGGGACTCAAAAAGTCCAGAAGAAGACCTCCCTAGGGCAGCGCCAAGTGCCTCCATCCTCGCCAGCTTGATACGGATGTCTGATTCACAGTCAGAATCACAGTGATTGCAGTGCTTGGCTATTTAAGGGCTGCATTTGGCACCTTTCTTGGTTGAGTGCATTCCGTTAGTAAACCTGGAATTGAACCTCGTCACCATTGAACAGGGTTAGCGACATTGAGTCCTTATAGATTTCCGGTTAGTGATTTGTTAAGCATTCGGTTACTAACTGTGGAGGCGATAAAATGTAGCACGAGGTTAGGGTTTGGAGCACCCCACATTTCAATTGCTTTCAGAACCTCTTCAGGAGTGTTGGAACTTGGAACTTGGTCCTTTGATATTTTGGAAGGGCGCCCAAAGCTTCGAGCTGAGTCTTTGTCAAGGTCCTCAGAGCTGGTGCACTGGAACAGGCTGCAACATGGTGCGTATTCGGACACTTTTCACTGTTGTAGACAAAGGATCCCAAGACTGCAATGAGGACAGCTCCGCTCTCCTGGTGGTAGACAAAGAAGTGTGCGCGTGACACTTGCATTTGATAGAGCCAAGAAGTCCTCAGTGAGCTGTCAGTTTCTGAGCTTTGTGTAGCTGGCAATTAAAAGTTTCTCCATGTGATTGATTTGTCCACCAATTGCAATCATCATCTTTGCAGGCGAACACATTGCGGCCTTACTTGACATGTATAAGGAACACGCTGAACGCGACGTTGTGCTTACAGGTGATTGAGGTTTGATGACAGAGAAGCTGCTGATGTCTGTTTGCTGGCTGGAGCTACGGCTTCAAAGGCTGGTTTTGTTAAGATGTCAAACCTGCACCTTGTTGAAGGTTTGCCAGAACTCTGGTCCATGTCCCCGTTAAATGTTGATTGCTAAGAAGTGATAAGTGGCAAGCATAGAAGCTGAAGCTATTCACTGATCTTTCTTCGCAGAACTTCCCCTGTCAAGAGGTGGAGCGGCACAACAAGCCAGAAGTGGAGTTCAAGTGAGCCCCTTGATATACCTTGTCAAAACTCACACAGCATCTGTCAAGTCTCCGTCACCTTGGTGCGAGGCTTATGGAAAATGAAGTCCTGGAGAGATTGTGCATTTGTCAGACATTTTTGCAGCAACAATCGACATCTATACTAACCTTCGCTTGTTGCTTTGCAGAACAAGTCCTGAGTTGCTTCTGCAACCGGTAAGCTGCCTGCACACAGTCGTCTAGGGATTATCTACTTTGACTGATTGAGGCTGACTGGTTTCGCTGAAGATGGTATGAATGATTGATTAAGCAGGCAAGTTTGTTCTTACATTCGCGGCAGGGTCTCCTCAATCAAGGCAGAAAGCTTATCGAGGCGCTCTTCTGTATACACAAAGTCATGAAGGCCGTCTCCTCTTCACATTGGATCTGGCCTGTTCAGAATCCAATATCCTTGATTGAAAACAAAACTGAGTTTGTTGGCATGCCGCACAGGTACTCATCTGCAGGAACGAGGGCGAGAAGTGCCTCATTGAAGGATCCATCAACTCGCTCCGGATAAGCATAAAGGTGAACGCACAGCTCCCTGTCTCTATTCCTCTTCATTCCAGGGCTACTTCTTGACTGCTCTGCACCTCTGCAATTGACACAACAACACTATCCCTATGTGCATGTTTACAGAACCCTTCATCTCAAAACTCCCAATTATGAAACGGTGCCAAGATTTGGCGAAGCTTGGATCCGTCTTCTCACGTACGATTTTGTGTTTCTTCCTGATGATCGGTAGGCTCAGACTTTCTTCACCTTCTTGTCTTTTGCAGGTGAAGCAGGCGGACGAGCTTGAGAACATACTGGCAAAGAAGTTCCTCCGCTTTGTTGCACAGCGCGCAGAGTCGTTTCAAGTACTAAGGAGGAAACCTGTTGAGGTAAGGGGTAATATCTGTTCCTCTCGACCAGTCGGATTCCCACAGATGATGCATAGCCGGCAGTTCTTTAACTCAAACGTGGTTACTCGATCTACTGGCCTTGAGTCCTCCAGTATCTTTTCGAAAACACGTGTACTTCTGGTCTGTCATCCATTTTTCGTGTTCCGGCTTTATAGTTCCTTTTATGTAGAGCTTTCGCCTCAAAGTATTGAGCTACCTTAATCAATCTTCTAGTGATCCAATCATTTCGAGGCCCAGTAGTCTTGCGTATTTTCTCAGCAGCATCACCGGCCGACCAACTTTTCTTACAGGGTTATGACATCAGCTTTCTCATCACGAACACGCACACCGAAGAGATGCAAAAGCACAAGTTGGTCGACTTCATTGTACGATTCATGGAGGTGAGTGGGGGTTCGCAATCGTGCGCGGTCAAGAAAGTCGGTCTGTCTCTTTCTTGCCTGTGTCCTGGCGTCCCTAGTGCGAGCAGATTCGGGCACAGGTTGCCACTTCTTTCAAGAGTTAGTGCTAGCAGTTTCGAGAAGGGTCCTTTGCAAAGACCAGGTTGGCCCTTGATTGATTACGAGTCCCATGGCCTCAAGGCTTGTTCTTTGCACGCACTTTGGTGCTGGATAGTCTCAGATCAAGAGTTTTGAGCATAGAACGTGTTGTCCATCCTGATATTACGTTACTTATGCAGGACATTGACAAGGAGATCAGCGAGCTAAAGCTGTCCGTGAACACAAGAGGGCGCCTCGTAGCAACCGAATACCTCCGCCAGTTCCTGTGACGTGCCGCCCTCTATCTGGTACACAAGAGCTAAAGACCGGAAGGAGCAGGATGTAGATGTACAGGCCTGCAAAAGATGCTTCAATGTCGTCCAAGCTGGAGCGCTTTGCTTGGAAACAGAAGCACTGAGAGATCATACAGTGTTGTTCGAAACTTGTACAACTAAGTTCGAGCTCCCGTTTCTGCATGAGAATCATTGCATTGAACTTCGCAGGTCAAATTCATCACCCTTCCATCTGTGGTTATCATGCGCGAGCACTGCATGAGCTCCGCAGGCATATATTAGTCACCAGGCTCATCGAATCATTTGGCGATTGATTGCATTAATGATCTACTATAATTATATAGTAGTAGCTGGCCATGATACCATGGCCATGGCAGCTTTGCATGCATGGCCGGCATGTACTTTACTCTCGAACATAGAATTCATATATTATGATACACCATAGATCAATCATTCATGCAAGCATGCTGCCATGGAAGCGGCAGGTGCATGACCTGCATCAGTCCCATGGACGGTAAATGCTGCCATGTAGTCTAGATAGAGCAAGACGTACGTACTGAGTGCGATATTGCTGTTGCAATAAGGCTTTCAATCAGAGTCTGCACTTGTACGGTTGGAATGGATTCCAACTTTGGGCTTCAAGGTACTTGCATGTCAAGGCGCGCCTTATCAAGGCCCGTTATACGGCTACATCAGAATGTCGATATCTGAAGTTTGCTTGACAATGCACTTGTCCGTGCTGACGCAATTATTGTTGCTGTCATACTTTCAATGATACATATTGTAGCCGAGGAACCGAAGTGAACAAAACTGTAAGCGTAGATCCTTCACCGTCTCCTGCCCACTTTCTTGGCTTAGGCAAGAGCAACTTCTAGTCACGAGTGCCCCTGAGACCTTCAAAGAGATGAATGAAAGCTTCCCTGCCCTGCTCTAGTTTTGCCGATTCTCAATGTAGAGAGCCAGGGCTACCAACGGTGCTGCCTTGTGAGAGTCGAAGGAGGACAACTGATCGATTGCTGTTTGAATGAGATCCCGGGCGATCTCCCTTGCTTTGGGCAGACCGACCAAGCTGCAGAAAGCGATTGTGATTGTCAGCACGTGGCGCCCAGGTTCAAACAAGCTCAAGCAGAAATCATGCTTTCGACAATTGCACCATGAGACGATGTCAATGCTCCTGGAAAGAGCGTAGTACGATCCGTCTATCGCTCTCGATCACCAATACCCAGTTCTGGTCTTCAAATACGAAAGAAAGAAATCCGAAAACTACTCCTGGGCCCCACCTAGGGTAGGTCGCCTTGGCTTGATCGATGTCCTTGCCCGCCGTCTTTCCCAGCTCTTCCGTGGTTTTGGTCACGTCCAGAATGTCGTCAATCACCTGGGGCGGAGGGACGTGCTTGCAGTTTCAAAAAACGGTGTGTCAACTTAATTTCTGTAAACTTGGAGGTCGAGGAAGCGTCTAGAGGAAAGCGTAAGGTATTTGAAGCGAAAGTCAGAACTCGCTACATTCTTGCATTGTTCGAAAGAGGGGGGGAGTCTTACAAAAGCCTGCGCAAACGTTGTCACTCTGCAAACAGCTCAGACTTCAGCCAACGGTTGGGTCGACATAGTCTCAGCAGCGGCCATCATTAACAGTCTCTACACATTCCGAAAGGAAAATGGTCCTGAGCTATTCCGTGCCTCTATCACGAAGTCTTTCTAAACGTTTAGAAAGACTTCTAAATTGGTCAAAAGAGCGTTGCCAAAGCACCAGTCTGATCTGCAAGCAAGGTCGAGAAATATTCTTTCCCGTGCGTCAACACGACGATTGCCTTTTCTCCACAGCCTGCGGCGTTAGCCCCCGTCTCAGATAAGTATCACTATTGCGTTGTAACAATGCCACGTATGGATAGGTCACTGCGTAGCGGACGGGTGGCTTTGCTTTATATTTCAGGGCAGTTTTGGTGCGGAGGGTCTTGACTTTTGACTGGGATTTTACTTCATGCGAGCCTGGGGCAGAGATAGAACTCAACGAGGCTCTTGACACGCAAAAGCAAGACATGTTTGTCTCACCTGGAACCCCAGTCCGATGCACTGGGCATACTTCCTCAACTTCGCAATCTCGTCCTCTGTGGCTCCCCCCAGGACCGCTCCTGCGACAACCGACACTTCGAGCAGCGCCGCCGTCTTGTGCCGGTGAATGTACTCCAACGTCTCCAGCCCGATCGAGTTGCCCTTGCCTTCGCTGTCCAGGTCGACAATCTGCAGGCGATGTTCTTTCTATTGAGTCGCCTGGTTGGTAATCTAGACTCTTAACCAGTCACGGCGGGTTGCTTGGCCAGTCTTTTCATGTACAGCCAGCAAAGAATATGGTGTCAATGGGTTCTGCCACTTGACGGCTGAAGTTGGCTTTGACAATGTGGTTTTGATGCTCCACCGTCCGTCGAAATAAGATGCCATATGAGCTTCTGGCCTGAAAAGGACTTGCTTTTGAGGGCTGTAACGTGGGCCTTTGTTTGGGAGATTGGGTCCTAAAGTCGCCCTCTACGATTGCAAACGTGGAGACTTCGAGTTTAGTCGGATGCACGCACAAACAAGCGCCTCTAACTTCGACGAGCACCAAAAGCAGACGATGCTCGAGCCATGGCGACACAAACAACTCGCATGGCTGCAGTGGCTCTGTTTCTGTATTCCTCTTCCCCGTCAGTCACTTTCATCAACTTTCAACAGCAGAATACAAGCTTCTTTCCTCCGCGTATTCGTGCATGATTGAAGTTTCGCGATACTGGCAACCTCTTGGCTATCGACTGTAGGAGGGGTCTCATCGAGGTCGGTCCGACATATCGCTCCTGATCAATCTTCGACCAGCAGCTGAAAGACAAAAATCATATAGATGGACCAGGATGTTGCGATCGACACCTCACCTGCCCCGCCACAAGCCCTCTCCTCCAACTGCCTTTCATTGAGAGTTGGTGGTACTTTTATTCCAACTTCTCAAATAGAACCGACACTTTTCAACAAGCGTTACAATGGATCTGTACGGCTAAACCAGAGTGTTGCGAATGACGCCTTACCTGCCCTGCCACCAGCCCTTCCCCTCCAACTGCCTTTCAATGGTTGCGCAATTTCTCATCTTCCCGAACTCAATCGACGAATATGAAAAGGCGTATCAATGGACTTGTACCCTGAACCAGAGTGTTGCAAACGACGCATCACCTGGCCCGCCACAAGCCCTTCCCCTCCCAACTGCCTTTCAAAGTTGGTGCGCTGTTTTAAGTTCAACTTCTCGAAGTCAACCAACGCACATGAAGCAGTCTAGCAACGGACTTGTGATCGAAACCAAAATGTTGTGAACATCGCCTCACCTGGCCCGCCACGAGCCCTTCCCCTCCGACTGCCGTCCCCAGGTCGGCAATGACTCGCAACACGCGGTCCGCGGGGACCCCCTTGGTGGCCCTGGCAATGTGCTCAAACGCAAAGGACAGCAGGGCGTCGCCCGCCAGGATCGCCACGTCCTCGCCGTATTTCTGAAAGCGAACGATGGCAAGGCTTACATAATGAATATCTCATCTAAGAACAGACTAGTTACATCGATCTGTGACTGTCAAAGCTCCTCCCAGGACACGCAGGGAAACTGCTTCTTCCTACTGTTGACGGATCAATGTGGAAATCTGAAGAGATGACTTCCTAGACTCCGAACTTGATGAGTGAAGGTGCTTGAGAGCAGACAACCTTACAAGTCGCTTCTCAGCTGGAGCGGCTTTGTCCTTCATGAGGCCTTAAAAGCGCTTTCTCTCAACAAGGATATGAAAGGTCAGGCCGTTGGCGACTCCTACTTCGGGTCACCTCCTGCTTCTGACCCCTGTCACTCAACGCAGCTTTTCAGAAACCGTCTCCACCCCCGCAAGATTGTCACAACATGTCAGTCCCCAGGATCCATCAGGAATGGATGGCAAAGCTCCAAGGAGTTTTCCAACTTTTAAGACTGACCTTGTGGTTGGTCGGTTGCCCTCGTCGGAAGTCGTCGTTGTCCATGGCTGGCAGGTCGTCGTGGATGAGGGACATTGTGTGAATCATTTCCATGGCGCATGCGGCCGGCATGGCCGTCTCCATGCTCCCACCGACCAGCTCACAGGATGCGATGCACAGAGCTGCAGCAGAGGAGAAAGTAGTACAAGTTGAGTGCATTCTTTTTGGAGCTGATGGCAAGCTGCAGGCTGTTCCACTCTGAGTGAGGGAGAACAGTTGCGATAAGTCTGGACGGCTGATTTGTTTGGATGCAAAGCCTCCATTTATGAAATAAATGCAGGCGGACAGATTGTTAGGACTCCTTCGGCAACCAGTTCGAAAGCCAACTTCTTGTCTGGCTGACAAGATTTTACGAAGCGAAAAGGACAGGGGAAGGTTAAGAAGGACTGGCAGTATGTGATGGTCAAACGCACCGTAAATCAGAGGTGTAGAATCAAGTGGCAGACTCCGTGGATGCATCATGTCAAGAAGTTGGCCACTTGGAGAGCTTTCAAGAGAGGTAGGCGCGAACCTCAGAATACCGTATTTCAGAATCTTTTTCTCACTTGCCCCCAGAACAAAGCTCTAGTAGCTGGGAAAGGTGATATTACGTCACATGGTCTGCCCTTTTGCACAGCTCAAAGGGGGGGGGGGGCTTGAGGTACAACTCCTATAGCCGATGACCTGCCCCATTGCCTGACTTTTCAACTTTGTTCTTATCATCGGCAAAGCTTGATTGGCCGAGCACACACATCCAATACTAACCTGGGCAGAAGGTGAAAGAAGGGGGAAAGAAGCATGCTTTCAAAGTTCCCAAACCATTGACACGCTAGCACTTCTTCTGGAGCTGACTTTGTTGGGCAAACTCGTTTCTGTTTTGTGACAGTAAGACTCTCGTATTTCTTCGTTCTCTTTGTTGCTAGTTCAGAAGACGTCTTGATTCGAATTGCCAAATTTCAAAGAATCTTGCAGGATTCCAAATACACTCAAATGCTTCGCCACTGCGTCTGTCAGTGCTTCCATTTTTTTGGATGCAATATTCAGAGGAAGTGGAGCTTGAGATGGTCCACAGGAAACCTTTGAGTAGGAGGGGACAGGAGAGTAGAGCGACTCTTTCATCTCGAGAATTGATGTGACAACAAATACTCGGTTTGCCCGCAGGCTTCCTATTTGGTTGGACTGTGCAACCCATGTGCAACCTGTGTGCAACCTTACCCATCACATGACAACTGACAGCTTAGACTGGTGTAGAAGCCTTTTAGTCACCTTGGCTGGCAGCAACAAGCAAAGCCCCAGCTACTTTTGGTTTGCTTGTGATAGCAGACTGGAAGCTTCAAACAAGCCGCAGGGCAAGGACTTCAAGCTGCATTATGTGACTGGAACAGAACCCCTAGACCCCCAACGGGCAGCTTACCTGGGCGCACTCTCTTGCCTCCTGCCAGAAGCGAGTACCTCATGGATTCGTGAATCTTCTCAGGATACTGCATTGGCACTGCTTTGTCCAGGGCGGCATTCACAGCTTTCGCTTTTGCACCCATGTAGGAGTTGAAGTCAAAGGCATCTTGATCTGCAAATGCAGCAGGCAGTAGATTGGTAAGAAGCAATTTGCTGAGGCAGTATAAGGAAGCTCAGCGCAGCAAGAAATGCTGATAAAAGGTTGGTGTTTCACAGCACGCCGCAGTAAACCCTTGAAAGAATCCATCTTCTACAACTGCAGAGAGAAAACTCATTTCGGACTCCCTGACAAAAATAGAAACTAGCTTTTCAAGACAAAAGGTCCGTATCAGATGGGGCGGCAGCATAAAATATGCCTGGACCTTTGAGAAGGTATTCCTGCATTGTAAGTTCCAGGAACATGCTGCACTTCCCCATGAGCCACACTGCTCGCTTCAACCTCCCATGTGCTGAAGCTTTCTGCTCAGTATCCCTGACACTCGTATAAGCAGAGCGTTAAAAACCAACAATGCTGCTCAACACACCTGCTTCAGCTTTGACCTTGTCTTCCAAAATAACAGTGTTCTCCAGCACTTTGGCGACAACCGGCACCACTTGGCTCTGCCGGCGCATAGGGCTAGGGAGCCGTTTCGCTCCTAATGACTTGAACATAGCAGCATTTGCAGACCCCAGAAACGAGCTTGACGAAAGCTGTGAAACGCGGTTCCTGGCCTGCCGTCGGCCTGAGAAGCCGCAATGTGCTGACCGGAGGACGGAGCTGTCGAATGCAGAAGCAGAAGATGCTTGTAATTTTGTCACGGGTCCAGCTTGGAGGGCGCCCTGGACGGCTAGCGTAGATTCCATGGCGCGTAGCTCCAATGCAACCCTGCTCACTGCCCCTGCCACTCCGCGTTAAACTTATCAACGTCTTGTCTGCACTTTTGCAAATGCAGCCTAGCGCCTGCCACCCTTCAGGCTCCGCCACCAACTATACCGTAGTGTTCAAAGCAACTAGAATGAGGGACAATTGAGTTTCATGAATCATGACCATTGGGGAACAATAGTGATTGCTCATCGGACGGCTCGCTGTGCGATCCAAACTTAAAGAAGTTCCTGATCGTCGATGATGTGCAGTCCTCTTGAAACTGGAAAGACTGGAAAGTTGGCAATCGTAGGACTGCAGAATGTTCAGCTCGGATCATATTAGTCTGACATAGACTATAGTCATAGTCAGCGCCTTTCTCTGATGCCATCATTGGTCAATGACAAAGGCTGCTTCTTCAAAATTTTCATAGGCATCAATTTGATCATCAGCAGAAAGCAGAGTGTGGCAGCTTTCAATCTGGCTTTGTTGAAACTTCTGAATCGCTTTTGCAATAGGCGGCTCAAACACAACAACTCTCTTTCTTTTCTTACGAAGTTACGTCTCATCTGATGATAGCCGCTCAGATCTAACGCCGCGATGGGGAGCGGGGGGCCCGGCCTCATCAGGTTGATGCACTTGCTGACTGTGCTGAGCTTAGGTCGGTATGCGGCAGGCCAGTGCGGCGGGGAACATACGGTGGTGGGGTTTATCGGCGATCTGAGCATGCGCCAACATCAGCTGAGAGGGACGGTTGAGGTCATTGATGACTGTACCTTTCAGGTAGGAACCAAGAACAACTCGCGGCAATCTGAATGAAAGCTTGACAAAGTCCACTTTAAAGCATGATTTCTGATTCTTAGCTCAGAATTTGCTCAGCGCTATTGTCTCTCAAACCCCTAGTTTCTGATTGTACATGTTGCTGAAAGGCCTCAGAGACACAGACCAACCGCTGTCTTGAAATTGTGAGTGGGTCTGACCTGAGTTCTGATTCGTTACTTATCATGGTCTGAGAGCCCCTGTTTGTGGATTCATCTCCAGTGTCAATCCCACAGTGAAGCTCTATCAAAATCTTTGTCAACCAAACGGTATGCCATATTGGCTGCTCATTACTATCAAGCCCGCTTGGAAGCCTTTGCCCAAAATTTTGTTCTATTGTGACAGATATCATCACAATCATCTCCACCAAATCCAAATACCAGTTTTTCCCAACCAGGTGTCAAATCTGGACATGTTGGCCGGAGAGGACGTTTACTGGTGGGGGGCAGACGGCGAGAGTATGAACCAACTGATGGGGGGCAGGCGGATGTCAGCAGACTCCCTGGTTGGAAACTACAGCAGTCAGGACATGGTGGTAAGTGCATTATACTATGCTCGGTTTCTTTGAATCGCGTCTGCGCTCCCCAGGCTGAAGTACAGATTGAAGGCCTTGAAGCTTAAGGCACACTCTGATTGAAAGCGGCCCAAGTAGTAAAGCTCTGCTCCAGTGATGAGTGATTGGCAGTTGTTTTCTGGTCAAAGTCTGGGACACGTTCCCTGATAATCTATGTTCCTGGTGGAACAAGCTATAGCCGCTTGGGTCAGGCCTTTGATAACCACTCTTGTGTTGTCAGGAATGAAGGCTATCAAGCCCCCGGTAGGCACTAATGTTCGTCACTGCTGCCAGCTAAAGTGACGAGAAAATGCAACAGTCTTCTTTTTGCTGCGCCAGGTTAAGCTGCTGCCTGGACTGACTTGGGACAACGCCACAGTGCTGGGCGTGTGGTCTGAAAAGATGGCGGGGGATTATGGTCACGTAGTTCTACAACCAGAGGGGGGCTGGCCGTCAAGTCTGAGTCCCAGCAGTCCAGTCGAAACGGGGAACGTAACGTGGACTTTTAATGAGTCAGCACTGAATGGAAGTTTTCCTCCGAGAAACGCTTCTAATCTGACAAACGGCAGCTGGCCGCTGAATGCTACTGAAGCGAACAGAACAGCGTTTAGCAATTTAACAAGTGGCGGCATGGGGTTGAACGGCACGATGGGTGCGAGCGGCAACTTAACAGCAAATGGGACCCTTGATTCGAACCAGAGCTCAGGTAGCAACATCACCTTGCCTGAAAGTAGTCCCAGCCCCTCAGAGACTCTTCCCCTGGGTCCGCTGAGGGGAGCGCCGCAGCCAACGAGCTTCGACAGCTGTATAGAGCTCGGCCCGAAGCTCAGGCTTCGCTGGACCGTCGACCGGGAAAACAACTCGATAGACATAGGATTAGAAGGTGCGCTAGGGGATCAAGAGTTCATGGCACTTGGCTGGGCCGTCCCAGGAGCATTGAAAAATTACATGGGGCATGCTGATGTCGTCGTTGCGGGGTTCGATGCAAGTCGGCGGCCGTATGCGGAGGACTATTTCGTGACCGCACTGGCGGTGTGCAATGTGAATACGGGCAGCCCTCAGGGGGTGTGTCCGGACGCCGATTTTGCGGGGCCGAATCGGACCGTGAGCAACGTGGAGCTCGTGTATGCACAGCAAATGGACGGTGAGGCTTCCATCTCCTTCCGATTTGGCATACAATAACTGCTGGCTTAGAACGAATATCCTTGGCTCCTAGTGACCTTCAAAGAAGCTCTTTGACTGAACGCTCACCTAACTCTCGTAATTCGCGGCTCGTTGTTCATATTGCTGATAGGAATCATGAATATCCTCCTTGGGCGCCAGTTGTTTGTGCACTAAAATGAATACACATCTTAAGCGAAGAACCATCGTTGCAGAACTGCCTGTTTTCAAAGACGCGTCCTTGAAGATTGCGCCTACTCTCCAGAGATTGCTTGAATGCGCTTCTGTTGCTGTCTCAAACGTGGAAGCCGGGATCTCAATCGGCTTGTGACAGTTTATTCCAACTCTATCCCGAAGCTCGCAGCGGTTTTGCTTTTATGGGACTTCGAAGTTTGATCCGATGCCTCCATCCTCCAGGCGTTACGCTGGTGCGCTACCGGCGGCCGCTCATCAGCCCCGACCGCGAGTTCGACAACGACATTGACCCCGACCAAGAGCAGCCCCTCATCTGGGCGACCGCCGCCAGCAAGCACCCCTCCCCTTTCACGTCCACCAAGTTCCCCATGCCCCTCTTTCACGGCACCGAGTACCAGAGAAATTATGGCGAGGCGTTTCTCGCGGTCGGGAAGCACTTTGACTTGTGCATGGGCCCGTTAGACGCATCGCGGTTCGGCGTGCGAGAGAACCGGGTCGGGACGGTAGTTGCAAAGAAGGGCGTTCCGTTGCTGGTCGGGGTGGGGAACGCGACAAGTTACGTAAACCCGCCGAACCCGGGGAAGAGCCTCTATGTCAGCGGACAGGAGTCTCCAGTGCTACAGGTCAGTTGAGAGATTTCCTCGATGTTGCCTCTGACGTCAAATGGCGTTTTGATTTCGCATGAAAGTTTCGCAAGATGTGCACACTGGAGGCCTTAGGCCGAAGAGAACGATAGGAAAGGGAGCCTACTTCACGAGAATGTGCAATCTGTGACCTAAGCATCCACTTTGTCACCTGAAAGTTGGCTTGGCAGATGGGTCCCGTCTCGTCGAGTGAGAACGGAGACGGATACTTCCGCATGTCATTGTATGCAATACTGTCTTGCTGACGCGACGAGTATTTGCCTGTGGTCTTTTGGCTTACGATTTCCCAGGGAGACTGTTTACATTGTGCGTGTGCCCTCTCTCACCCCAGGTTATCTTCCTTCCAAGCCAACCTGAACTGCAATACTTGGCCGACTGTCGAATCTTCTTACTTGTTTTCGATCAGATTCTTGTATCGTCCGTTCTAAAGGACCACCCGCGACAACTGTTCATCAGCGCAATGGGCCTAGACTCTACTTTCCGACTTCAACAATCCGGTGCCTACTCTTGCACCGTTAAGATTCGACTTTCCACTTCTCTCCTTTGCAGGTCGAACGGGGTGTCACCACCAACTTTACGGTCGCCGCGGGGCCGGCTTACCCGGTCTACATCACGGACGATCCCGTGGGAGGCGCGGGTCTTTTGAACACGAGCGCAGGACATGTGTACGCAGGGGGGCCGCAAGCTTACGGCACGGTGGCGGTACCGTACCGGCTGTCGTGGACGCCCAACCACACAACACCGGACACGGTCTATTACCAGGTAAGGCAGTGCACAGTGCCCTTCGTTTACAGCGATGAACCCGATTCCAGATACGACTCGCGAACCCCAATTTGCAGAGGTTGCACTGGGTTCTCGCCAATTCGTTTCTTCCTTCGGTAATCACCGAACAGAATTCCGGCGATCACCGCTCAGATCTCGAAGCCGCAGGCGTAAACCTCAATACTTGGTGGCAAACGACGTTACTCGTCTCGTTGCTGGCGTCACCCAATTATTGAAGGCATGGTAAATAGCGAATGGGGTGGCAGGTTTTCTGCCTGATGGTGGTTGCGCGGGCACGCATCCCAACCGTTTGCAGTTTCCCAATCCTCTTGCTGACGTCACCCTCCTCCCTGCAGGCGTTGTCGGAGCGCAAGTTGAGGTGGCAGGTCTAGGTTATGGACGGTGGCTTCACGGACATGAACTCTGAACATGTATCACAGACGACGTTACACATGACTCTTGCTGACGTCCCCCGTTACTATTGCTGACGTCTGCAGGCGTGGTCGGAGCGCAAGATGGGGTGGCAGATCTCGGTGGTCGACGGCGGTTTCACGGACATGTACCCCAACATGGCCACTCTGGCGGACGGCAAGGTCAATCTCTACTGGGCGCTTCACTACGACAGCATCTCGTTCGCGGTGCGCGGATTGCGGCCCAGCAACTGGCTGGCCATTGCGTTCGGCAGGTGAGTCCTTCGCTTTCGGCTTCTGTCTTGTTCGGCCGTTGTTGCTACAATCTTTCTGATCTCGGCTTCGTTTCCTTCCTGCCGTTGATCTTTCAATATTGGGTTTGGCTCTGTTTTCTTAGTGCCGTTGTCTTATAACACTTGTTGGTTACGGCTTCTCTTCCTCCCGGTCGTCATTCTTTGAGCGAACATGCCCTGTCAAGGGATTTCACGCCTCAGCTTCTTCCCCTATATTCACGCGTGCTTTCTTCGGAAGTGCCGCTGCTTTTCTTGTCTTTCCGCCAGTGATGCAGAGTGTTGCCTTCAAAAACACCACGGCTTTTCTAAACGTTTCCCAAATTTTGTGAATCGTCGTTACCAACAAACACTGCTTTTTTCCCCGTCCTCCCAATGCGCCAATTGCCCCGTCGACTCTGCAGCGGCATGGTAAACAGCAATTCGTACGTGGGCTGGTTGGACGGCGACATTCCCCGAGTCTCCACCTACTGGATGGACGCCCACGACCCCTCCGGGCTGCACCCAGTGAAAGAGATGCTGACCAATCAACGCGTCAGCGTTTCGGGGGGGTACATCAGCTTCGAGTTTACCCGCCTGCTACGGATACCCGGCAGCAGAAACGAGATTGATCCGGAATCGCTGTTGCGGGTGGTGTGGGCGTACGGGGACGCTTGGACCACCGGTGAGGGATTCCGCCGCTTGCCGAGCTCTGCGTATACGCTCATTTCCACTCGCAGTTCTTGTCGAGACAACGCAGTTTTGAAATGGTTGCGTGATTGTCGCAAAGGCGTCTGGGTAACCAGCTGTGTCAGTTGTGCGTACCGTGAGGATTGAAAGAGAGGCAGGGAGAAGGCTTCAGAACGTTTCCTGGAGCAGCAGAGTAGCGACGCTTGTTCTCCCTTAAGCATATCACAGGTTTCAACATCCTGTGACAGCTAGACACAAGCAGCGCAACGAACCGGGCTTACGCTACTCTGTGAGAGACCTACCCCAGCTTTGCAAACCGTCTATGGTTACGTAACCAGTCCTATCCTGACCCTCACCTCGTCTTGCAGGCACGCTGACGTCCAAGCACATGCACACCGCCATGAGCAGTGACGTCACGCTGATCAATCTGCGGCTGGGCGTCGCCCAGGTGGAACATTTACAACCAGTGTTCGTCGTCCACGGATTCATCATGTTCCTCGCCTGGGGTGTGCTGCTGCCAGGTGGCGCCATCGCTGCGCGCTACATGAAGGACTGGACCGGGGATATCTGGTTCAAGTGAGGCTACTCCCACTTCTTCTCTTAGGTTTTGTTCTTTTCAGTTCCAACCTACGATGAGAGCTTTGACATTACGAAAGTGTAGGTAATAGAAACCTTGAAAGGCAGATTTCCGACTAAGTGAGCCATTTTACTGTCTGTCGCCGGACATTCCTGCATAGTAGGCTCAGACAAGTCCTGACCTTTGAAGTTGTCGAGCAGTTGTCGGATCATGGTATCCGGTCTGGGTCCGACCTAAGATTTTAAGGAACGAGAAACGGTATCTCCTTCGTATGACGGTTCTCTCCACGCAAAAGCCGTTGCCTTCAACAAGCTGTCAAAGAGTGTCATATACAATGGGTCGATAAGATTGTAATAAGAAGGAAGAAATGTCGCCGTTTCATCCGAACGCTATCCTCATTTTTGTCATCCGCAGGGTGCACGTTTACTCGCAGACAACGGGGTTGGTGATGGCGGGGCTTGGACTGCTGTTTGCCATGGGCGAGCTGAAAGGGTGAGTATTTTCTAAACAGAGTCCACTGCTTCCTCTTGGCCTCGCAACAGTGTACTGCTTTCCTCAATCCCGCAGACTATCGCTTTTCTTCCCCGCTCATACAGTATATCTGTTGTTCGGCACTTAAGAGTCGGCGAATTTAGGGTCGTGACCTCAGTAGAACCAAGGGCTTTCTTTTCCGCGCATCTGGGGTCATAATAATAATAGTCTGCGGTTTTGCAAAGGGCACGAGCAGCCCATCCTATACAAGGCGACTCCCTGCCGCATCATCAGACCAACTCTTTTGCCCACGCTTGAGGCTTACGTCTTTCAGCCGTTTGATCTCTGTCCTTTGAATGCCTTGGTTCACCATTCTCTTGCAAAGGTTCGCCCGAGACGCTTCAGCGCTACTGCAGGCACGCAGGGGTTCAACCGGCCCTCCTTCATTTTGCACTTGGTTTTCGTTCGGCTTTTCTTGGTGACACGTTTCCCCTCTCCCTCAAGGGTTTGTCTTTATTCAAGACATCCGACTCAAAATCTGAAAGAGCGCGGATGACTCATCCAGGCTCACTTTACACGCCGCATGCAAAAACCGAAATGGTGGTCCTGATGTTCGAAGTGCTGTACTCCATCTCGACACAGATCCAGTCGGCTACTTTCTCCTTTCCAGCCATGCACGAAACCCACTGGCATCCTTGTTCTTCCCAGGCTCAACCTGTATACGACGCATGCTAAGATTGGGATGGTGGTCCTCGTGTTCGGAGTGCTTCAGCCCATCAATGCGGCGCTGCGGCCGGAGAAGCCGATCCCCGGGGAGAAGCCGAGCATGCCCCGGGAGATCTGGCAGACGCTGCACCAGTAAGCCCCTGTTCGCCGCTCTCTTTCTTCTCGTCGATAAGGGAGTTCTAGCGGAGGCCACAGGTCATCTCGTCTGAAGTCTTGGCACAGGGAAAGTTGCCATGCGACCTTCCTTCCAACCCCCCTTGGTGAGTCGCGAAGCTCGTCTCGCTCCATTATGTAGCTCTGCTGGCACCGGGCCGTTCCAGCCAGGCAAGCAATTTCCGCTGGTCCTGATGAAGTTTGACAATCTCAAGCGCTTCGTGAGACTGGAGCATGAAAAGGCCCCTCTCTTAAGCTGATGCAATTCTCAGAGCCTTCCTTCTGACTCGAATCTAAACATACTCTTTGACCTGCCATATCTACGATGGGTCGTATCGTCCTCCTGCTGATGCCTTTTTCAACCTGTTCTTCTCCTTAGCTCACGATTGGCTGCCGCCAATCATCCCTCCCCGTCGGCTCATGTTGCAGCCTAATTTGCCTGGTTCGCGGAGGTTTTGTTGCCTACTGAAAATGTCCTTCGAGTACTTTCGCCCGGTGGCTTTATATCAGTTGCTCAGACACCTCACTCTCGCTCGTCTTTCTCACTTAGGTTGGCCGGGGCTTGTGTCGCTGGTGGCCATGCTGAGTAGACTGACGCAGGCTGAACCGACGAAGACATAAGATCGACCGGTTGCGTTTGCCGGTTCTCAGCCCACTCACTTTTACTCCTTTCCTGCGCAGTTGGTTGGGCCGGGGCGCAATGCTGCTGTCGCTAGTGGCCATGCTGAGTGGACTCGTGCAGCTGAACCGACTGGAAGTCATAGGGTAGACCGGTTATGTTTCTCGGTTGCTAAACCTCTCTTTCTGACTCATTTCTTTCGCAGTTGGTTGGGCCGGGGCGCAATGCTGCTGTCGCTGGTGGCCATGCTGAGTGGACTTGTACAGTTGAACCAGAGGGAGGACATGCGGAGCGACAGCGTCGCGGGGCTCATGGGCGGTCTACTGGTCTGGGTGACGGCGCTCTTTGCGTTCGTCGTGTACAAAGAATACAAGAGCTCCGAAGCAAGGTACGTGACCCTGAATCCCATTCCCTCAAAGATAAACCCAAAACCAGTGGGGTTTTATTGGCGGGTTTGCTTGTTTGTGTGACGGCGCTCTTTGCGTTCGTTGTGTACAAAGAATACAAGAGCTCCGAAGCAAGGTAATTGACCTCGAAAACCTGAATTCTAAAATTTAGGCCAGAAAAGGCGGGTTTTTGGGCGGGTTTGCTTGTTTGGGTGACGGCGCTCTTTGCGTTCGTCGTGTACAAAGAATACAAGAGCTCCGAGGCCCGGTACGTGACCCTGAAACCTCATTCCTAATAATTAAACTAAAGAGCGGGGTTGTTGAGCGGTTTGCTTCTTGGGGGGACGGCTCATCCTGTACAAAGGATACAAGAATCCTGTACAAAGGATACAAGAGTACTGAGGCCAGGTACGTTCCTCAAGGGGGCGTCTGCCTCGCGAGGGCACCCAGAAATCGGACGGTATTCAAGACACAGGAGTAAGAAGCTCGCATGAGCCGCTTCTTTGTGACGCAGAGTCTGCACTCGGTGGAAGAGGCAGGGGTGTTATTCAGTAAGCGTAGACCGTCAAGCCCGGCAGCCAACTCGTTAACGGAACACTAATTATCAGTCTGCATCGTTTCAGCATGCTCGTGTGTGAGTTACATACAACCAAGCGGACGATGCGACGTCGACCAGTCTGGAGCCAATACTGACATTCTGCAAACAGTTGTCAGGAACACCGCCCTCGGTTTGGTCTCGATTCGGACTGCTTTTGAAGTCCTGCAGATCGTGACGGCTGTGACGCCCTTCAATCAAATTTCGACGAAGGCGGCTGTTTGTATCGTGCAGGCCGCCTGTCCAAGGAGCGGTCCGCATCGACAGTCAAGAACCCGAGCATTGGACAAACGGGGAGAGTAACAGCGTGTTGGATCCGGATGCGGACGAAGGACATGCGCGGGGGCTGTCTCCGCCCCGGCATCACAGTAGACGAGAAGAAAAGACTTCTGAGATTCAATTGGAGACGTTGTGAACGGTATTTCGATTGTAATCATAAGCATATGTCCGCGATGGTCAGTAGCAGAAACCGAAAACATGATCCAATTGCGAAGCAACCTGCTGGACTGCGAAGAGCTATACTGCTCCGTCTGGCCCTGGGGCGCCCAGATCGAGTCCAGCCGAACCGCGTTGACACAGGCAGAATCGTGCGCCATTCTTATTGGCGCCGTCGGTTGATTTGGGGTTAGAACGTTGTAAAGTTGCCGGGTCGCGCGCGATATTCAAAGCTTACCGTCCTTCATCAGGAATCTTCGATTTGCGCGCTCCATGGGCCACTGTTACCCAAAACAATATTCGATGATCCCGTTTTCTACTGTCGACTCGACCCGACTGGCATGCGAGCTCGTGCGCGCACCATGTATAGCTACGGGTCCGGGTGCAGTGCCACACAGATTCGGTGGTCTGAATGAGTGCGCACCGTCCGACAGGGCACGCATGTCAACATGTGAAGCTGCCCTGGCCGGGCGGCGGGCGCGTTTAATCAATTCATAATTGAGCGCGGTACGGTACGTGAGCATAATATGAATATGTGCAAAAGATTTAGTATATACACCTTATCATGTTAGTACTCATGCATCAGTGTACTATTAAATGTATAGTTAAGGCTTGTTTGAGGAATTACGGCAGGCGCGCCTATATGTTATCGTGACCATCTGGCATCCGAAGTACCAGGCCCGGCACATGAACTTGAAGTATCTTGTTAATAGCTTGCATGCGCGCCCGGAGGGCGAAGCTTC